CGAGGCTTAAGGGGGAGGGCTTAAGGGGGCTGAAAAAAGAGTGGCTTAAGGGCGACTCTAAACATTACTTTATCTTGAAGATGAGAGAGAAGGGATTTATTCTAAATTCCACCCCCCTCGAATCTTGTTTTGTTTTTTGGATTTCGTTCTTCGAAACTAGAGAAGTGAGACTCTAAAAGAGAGAGAAAGGAATTTATGCTAAATTCCACCCCCCTCGAATCTTGTTATGTTTTTGTGTTTTTTTGGGATTTCATTATTCGAAACCAGAGAAGTGAGACTCTAAACATACATTTCCCTTTACGATGGAACGAAAGAAGGGAATGTATTCTAAATTCCACCCCCCTCGAATCTTGTTATACATTTTGTGTTTGTTTTTGGATTTCATTCTTCGAAACCAGAGAAGTGAGACTCTAAACATTCATTTCCCTTTACGAAAAGAAAGAAGGGAATGTATTCTAAATTCCACCCCCCTCGAATCTTGTTTTGTTTTTTGGGTTTCATTCTTCGAAACCAGAGAAGTGAGACTCTTTTTAAAGGGGAGCTTAAGGGCAATTCCACCCCGCTCGCTTCTTCTTTTGTTTTTTGTGTTCATTACTCGAGTTTCAAGGAGCAGAGAGTTCATAGCAGTGACGTGGCGCGGGGCTAAGCCGAGAACCCCATGTTTTGTTTCAGAGATGATTCATATGCTTCCACGCAAGCTTGCCCGGCAGAAAAAAAGCGGGGGGGTTGGGGGGGGCGCAGCCCCCCCCATTTGCAAACACGATGCTCGCATTGGGCCTCTTAAACTGCTGCCTAAATCCTCCACCGAAGGCCCAGCAGGTATTAAGCCTCTTAGACGTCTTGAACTGCTGCCCGAACCCATTACGCCTTTTAAACTGCTGCCCAAACCCTCCACAAAAGGCCCAGCGAGTATCAGGCCTCTTAAACTGCTGCCTAAACCCTCCGCAGAAGGCCCAGCAAGTATTACGCCTTTTAAACTGCTGCCCAAACCCTCCAAAAAAGGCCCAGCAAATATTAGGCCTCTTAAACTGCTGCCTAAACCCCTCCGCAGAAGGCCCAGCAAGTATTACGCCTCTTAACTTGCTGCCCAAAGGCCCAGCAAGTATTAGGCCTCTTAAACTGCTGCCTAAACCCTCCACAGAGGGGGGGGCTTGGTTGCGGCTTCAGGGGGGAACTTTAGGGGGGGCTTTAAGGGGGCTTAAAAAAAGGGGCTTAAAGGGGGGGCTTTAAGCCCCTTAAAACGGGGGGGCCTTCAAGGGGGCTCTAAGGGGGCTTTAAAAAGGGGGGTTAAAGGGGGGCTTAAGGGGGGCAAAGGGGGCTTTAAAGGGGGGCTTAAAGGGGGGGGGGCTTAAAGGGGGGCTTAAAGGGGGGCTTAAAGGGGAGCTTAAAGGGGGGGTTGAAGGGGGCTTTAAGGGGGGGCTTAAGGGGGGGGCTTAAGGGGGGGGCTTAAAGGGGGGGCTTAAGGGGGGGCTTAAGGGGGGGCTTAAGGGGGGGCTTAAGGGGGGGCTTAAGGGGGGCTTAAGGGGGGGCTTAAGGGCTTTCACCCTTTCCCCCCCCCCCCCGAAGGGACCCCCTTTGCAGGGACCCCTTTGAAGGGGGGCTTAAGGGGGGCTTAAAGGGGGGCTTAAAGGGGGGCTTAAGCCCCCCTTTGCCCAAAGGGGGGGGGCCCATCCTCCCATAACGGCTCAAGGGTCAGCACGGCAGTAGCTGTAGCTGATAACCTTGCAATTGCTCGAACATGATTTCCTAAGGGGCGAGATTGTGGGGCGGCTGCTGTGCCACTTGACACAAAAACTGAGAGATTCGCGTAAGGCAATTTTGTGCGGGAAGAACACTCCAGCCACTGTGGAGGTGCGCAAAAAAAAAAAACACGAAAATTAATCGGTCATTTGAGCTGGGTGGGGACACTCCAGCCACTGTGAAGGTGCGCAATAAGCACGAAATAGAGCAAAATTAATTGGTTCAGCCACAGAGCAGCCAGGCCGGCGCCCAGCACAGTCCAGCTTACACCCGCTTTCTTCAGTTAGAAGCAAATCTCCGCAGATCGGGCCTGTTGCAAACAAGACGATCCCATGTCAGCTCACACTGGCTCAAGAATTCATGGGACTCGTGCTGCGACACATGAATCAAGTTGGCAATTGTTCTCTGGGTTCCTGAAATTGCTAATCACATAATTACATGAAGGAACACTTGGGACTGGCTTACGCGTTTGTTTGGTTCGCTTTGTTAAAGGTGTTGGGTTCGTAGATGATTTCGACCCACTGCTTGGTGGTCCAGCAGACGGGAGCTTGGCAGGCAAGCACTTCCGCCTTCTGGTTGGTTTGTACGTCGCCGAGACGCCATGACGGTTCCTTTATTGGTGTCAACTCCTTTTAAATAGGCACATTAAAATTTGTCCGAGCAACCGCAAGACTGGCGGCAGCAACCTGGAGCTGGCCTGCCTGTGCGCCGGCCTGCCTGTGTGCAGAAGGTCTGTGCAGAATAGCTGCTACGGTAGAGGTTGCACAGACAAGAGTGAATGGTTAGTGCAAAGACGAGCTGCCAAGGCTCAAGAACATTGCCACAGAATGTCTGGAGAGGCCTTTTTGCAGAAGAAGCAGAGTTTGCAAGTTCGCCTTGATTCCAGCAAACCCCAACACTGTGCAGATCTGCTGATGCGAGCATTGCCATACTCCAAGGTTGTGAGCTTGGAAGCAGACGTAGGCGAAGGACGGTGTTCCGAGGAGCAGTACAAATAGGCGATTTGCACACCTTGAAAGATATGAGGTACCAGCTTGTTTCCACAAAGCAATCTCGGAAGGAAGGGGACTGGAAGTTGGTGGGGATTGGAGGACGTGAAATTCAGAGGACAAGCAACAGTCACTTCAGCGCTTCAATAGCATGACGATACAAGAACGCCAAACACAAAGGTCTCTACATCATTGGCAATGACAATGAGAAGATGCTTGGGACTGTAAAGGAGGCGATGTTCAAGTCATTGGCTTGGTCCCCAACATCGCCCACATTCTGGGCCTAGTTATGGCTTCTGGCCCGATATTTGCGGTTGTGCTTTTATTTGAATATCAAATTTGCTCTCATTGACAGCATCATCAAGATTGTGGGCTTTATTTGGGGTTGTTTTAGGATTTTAGCATGTCTAGCCGCGTTTTATCCTTATTTGTCAGCCATCATTTTTCTTTAATGTGCGGATTGCCCTTTCTGCTTGATTGGCATGTTTAGTTACTACATGTGTTATACCTTCTGTTTTGAAGAGTTCATGGGCTTTCTTACTATTCAATGCTCCCTCATCATGAATCATCAAAGGTTGACCCAATACTTTGAAGCATTCCATCATAGCATCGTAAGCAGTATCAGTCATTAGTTTTCGGCGGAACTATGTGAAGCGCCTTGCTCAATGTAACTATACATACCATACCAAATGTTGGTTGATTTCCCTTCTCAACGCCTACATCTCTCAATAAACTGCTGACATCCATCAAGTCGATTGGAACTCGTATTTCGGAAAAGGCGCTGTATAGCTATTGTAGTTCTTGTAGTTTCTTGTTCGCTTGTTCGGTTGTGATCCTAACCATTTCTGAACAAACTAAAAGTTATACTTGTATCAACCTTTTATTTTTTCATGAAGGTCTCTTGCTGATCCGAAGCCCTCGTCCACGTCGTCGTATGTCCTTCCAGTATCCTGTCTTTCTCCAGTCTGTTCATTGAACAAGCTTAGATGTTGATTTCATGGTATACTTTTCTTGTATCATAAAATCATAATGAGCTCATACCAAGAACCTTTGGCACTTCTTCGTTCTCCTGTGCTTTGCCAAGTTGGATCTGCAATGTACATCACAGCCGCATACGTCGCACACACAAGGTTGTTTCGCCTTAGCGTTGTAATATCTTTAGAAGTAGTCTTTGTCGCCGGGGAGCTGTTGCAATGTGTTGCAGCCGTTGCCCTGCCGCTGCCTTGCCGTCTCCAAGCTTTTGTCATTGATTTACCTTCTCTTGTATGCTCAGGATTGCCTGAGAACAACCAGCAAATGCGTTGGCAGGATGACAGCTTCTCCTTGTCCCCTTCGGGTGTGATCTAGATGTAGTGGTTGAAGGGACGGAGCTGAGAGAGCTTGTGCAAGTTGTGTTTGCCAGCGGTCTTGGCTCGAACGACTGGTGCATGTTCATCTCCTTTACATTCATGAACGGCAGCACTATTTTGTACCAAAATGAAGGCAGTGTGTTGTATGTCTTCAGGGAAAAGGTTTAGGAGTTAACCGCAGAGACACTTTATCAGTTAGGCGTATTCCACCATGAAGCGGCCAGCCACGAGGCGACCTGCTATGAAGAGACCCGCCAAGAGTGAAGTTGGAGCGCCCGCCAAAAGCTTCGGATGCTGCCACCGCTGAACAAGGCGGCAGATCCGCAGAAGCACGTTTTCCTTTCGCTGGCAGGACAAGAGACTTGATGAGCTGTTTGAAGGAGACCAGGATGTCGCCTTCATTCACGGTGGTGTAGCCACCGGCAAGACAACACTGGCGGAGCATTTGGCACGCCAGTTTCCGAACAAGTTCGTTAGTGTGCCCATCGCGGGTGCAGGAGAAGCTGTTTGGAGGATAGGCACCATAGAAACCATCGAGAAAGACACGGACAGGAAGATTGACAGACATGATTTAGCCGTTGCCTTCCTGATGCTGGCGCAAGAGAAGGAGCTGACCCTCGTCTACGACGAGGCGCACATGCTTTTTTGCCTCATCAGATCTATGCTCAGCGCTCCTCAAGAGCAACGAAAAGTATCGACTAAAGCTTCTGCTCTTCTCAGCCTCAGGCGATGCATCCAAATCCGAAATTCTCACAGTGTCGACACCTGCTGAAATCACCCAGAAGTTCATGTGGACGCCTCCCTTCAGCTACGCGAAAAAGCTGGAGACTCTACTGAAAGAAGCGGGTGTGAGGCTGGGTCAGAAGAGCATCAAGTTCTTCATCCATCTTTGCGGGGACGTCGTGGCATCTTCATCGCAGCGATGCACTGGGTGCAGAGTAAGCAAACAAGTGGTGAAAGCTGGGATTTCAAGAAGACTGTGGGGTCTGTACAGAATAGCTACGGTACACGAGATTGGAATTGCGCAGACAATGAGATTTTGGGGCGCTTGCGCGGGAGCCGTGCGGTGAGGGTCAATGGCTTCTACAAAGACATGAGTAACGTACCGAGAGAATTTGCAGAGCTTTTGTGCAAGGGCTCAACAACATTGCCACAGCAGCATGTCCAGAGAGACCTCACCATCCATGGCTTCATACTTCCCAAACACGATGGTGAGAAGGGACAGCTGCAGAAGGTGGATTGGATGAACGCCATGACAGAATGCCGAGTGGCGAACCCTTTGCTAGCCGCGTACTACCACTTCCAACTGAAGAGGGCCTGCGGCTTAGAGCTTCAGTTTGAGAAGAGCGAACCCCAAGGCTGTGCAGACCTGCTGATGCGAGCATTGCCTTACATGCTCTTCTCCATGGTTGTGAGTTTTGAAGGAGGTGAGTCTGAGTTAGCGACAGATGGTCTTCCGCATGAACAGCAGTACAACAAGGCCGTCCACAGTGTGCTTCGGGACATGGGCTACAGCACTTTTGCCCCAGAGGCGTCAGAGACTGGTAAGGGGAAGCCAGACTTCGCGGCCAAAATTGGTGCTAAAACGTTTATCATCGAGTGCGCAAGGAGCAAAATCCTTGAGCACCTTGAGCGTTTCCAGAATCTGGAGAACTACAAGATCGCCAACCACAAGGGTCTCTGCATCATTGGCAATGACAATGAGAAGATGCTTGGGGCTGTGAGGAAGACGAAAGGAAGCGATGTCCAAGTCATGGGCTTGGTCCCCAACATCGCCCACACCGCCTACACCGTTCACGTGAAGAGCAAGGGCATCAAAAGCGTGAACACCTTCAGGGTGGACTGCGACCTCGTGGCAAGGAGGTTGGTGCTCAAAGACGATGGCAAGCCTGAGCTCTACAGCGTCGAATCGCTGAAGAGCATGTCTCCAAACGCTGCGAGCAGACGCTGGGTGAGAAGTCTGGTAGTATTGTTTTGTTTGGTCTGTTATCCTTCTTTGCTTTTGTGTTTCGGAAAAAGGTTCTCTTGCCTTCGTGCACATGTCATGATGTGTGCTTCTTCGGATTCCTTGTCTCTTATTTGATCTGCAAATCTCGGCTGCGTTGCGTCTGTTAGCACCCTATGAGGCCCATCTGCCGGATCTGCAGGCACAAGAGTTGCAAGGTTTGAGACCGTTGCAGATGCCAAGACGTGTGACTGCCTGGAGGATTCGCGATTGCCAGCCTTTGGAGTTCTGTGATGTCTTGCAGGCACGACCTCAACGTCATCCGTCTGGGTGCGGGAGCTGATCCGCTGTGTGAAACCAAGTGCCGGTAATTGGAGCGCAAGGCTGACCGAGAGCATCAGTAGCATTCAGCTGAACGCAGGGTTGGGGCACGAAGCTGTTGGGATCTGGGCTCCAGTGTGTCTCGGACGCTCGTCGACAGGGGCGGAGCATGCGGCATGCCCATAGTGGCACACGTCTGATCGCGGGGGAGGGGAGGGGCGGGAGGCTGGGAGTGTTCGATGAGGCGAGAATTTTCATGGATGAAGGTGGTGTCTTGATCATTCCATACTCAGCAGAGGCAGTTCTCGAAGCTCAATGAGACCACCAAGCTCCGTGAGGAGATCAACGGGCAGACCTGGTATATCAACGCCGCGCCCACAATGCGTTTGCTCGCAGCTTGGGCCCAGTGTGCTATTTTCTGAAGGCCTCACGCTGATACAAGTCACAGTATTGCAGTTGCCATGTTAAGATTTCTACACTGTTGCAGTGTTTCAGCGTTGTAGCAGCAACTGCCATGGCACATCATTCGCCGCAGTGGTCCTGGGACCAGAGATGGTTGAATGGCCAGCAATATTGGGGGTTTGCGCAGTATTCTCAGCAGCAGCATGTTGCACCACGTCCAGCGCTGCTTGATCGCGCGTACTGCATGCTGGATAAGAACGGCCAATTCGCAGCTTTTTCAGACAGTCGCATCAGCCAGCAGAGCGGCAGTCAGTATGAACACCTAGTTACTAGCATCATCAATGGCCCTAGCCGCAAACTTAGAGCTGCCACCCGTCAAGAGCCCGCTGAGCAAACACAAGTAGAAGAGCTCAGAAGTCGCGTTGCAACTTTCCTGCAAGAACGTGTGTCAGACACCGTCGGGCAAAGAGTGATGGCAAGAGGTGTCGGTGAAGAGGAAGCTGACATTGACGTGGTGTTCCATGGTAGCTTTGAAGAATTGCTGAGCAAGCTCAACCAGGTGACTGAAGCTAAAGTTCTTGCGACCTGCACAAGCACCACCTGTGTTCTGGTGGAAGATTGTTCGGACAGTCGTCTTGTCGCGATGAAACTTTTGCAGATCGAGATCCACTGCCGCATTGTTAAGCGTCGCGGGTTCTTGGTCTATGATGAACCGCGTGGCTTGAAAGCACAGCCCCTTGCTCCAGAATCGACCGGCTATGCGATTGTGTTCAATCGCGCGGCTCTGCACATCGACATAGGGAATGTGCTGCGCACACTGGGTCTCACCGGCGTGCAGGAGTTGCAGCGGCAGGGCAAGTTGCACATTGCTTTTTTACAACCAGACCGTGCGTTGCCTGCAGCATTGGAGATTGCAAGCAAGGCAAGAGCAGAGGCAAGCGAGGCAAGAGCGAAGGTGGACACATTGGAGCAAAAACTTGAAGGCATCCGCAGGGTTAACATTTGCATGACTTATGCACGGCTGTGGTTTCTACCTTGGCACGTGTTCTGCGGGGTTCTGCAGGCACGACCTCAGCATCAGTCTGGGTGAGGGAGCTGATCCGCAAGGACTGTGCTGTCTGAGAGCACGGCGTGCGGCGGACGTCTATGGTGGGGGCACACGTCCGATCGCGGGCAGGGGAGGGGCTTCAGGAGGCGGTTCGGGGCTGAGGGCGTTTCGGCTGCTCCTTGCTGGAGTTTCTGCAAGTTTGCTGTCGGTTCATGTCTGCCGAAGTTTTGACCCACTCGACTTGCAGGATCGGACGGTCACAGGAAAGCTGAGGCCCAACAAGGATTCCGATGCAAACAGATCATGTCCACGTTGCAAGCAGTGCATTCTCCAAGACGGGCGGCAGAATTTGTTCGCATCTCTGTTGAAAAAGTTGCCGACCCACAAATGAAGCTCGATGATGGCAAGGAGTTCGAGCCGACGGGCAATGCGTTCCAAGTGAAAGGAACCTTGACTATCGCCGCGACCTTAGCTCCATTCACTCGATTGCCTCAGTTCATTTCTGTGTTTACGAGCGGTTCTCCACGCTTTTGACGTCAGGTGGATGACTTGAAGAAGGCCCTGCGCTTGGATTTTGCGCGTGGATTTAGCTCGTCCTGTCTTTGGATGGGCGATGAAAACATTGAAGTTTAGAGTGTCCATGTTTGCACTTCTTGCAACCCATGAAATCAGGCAATGAAAGCGGAGAAGGAACTGTCCAGAATCCTTTGTTTATCGCTGCAGGCAATCGACCCTTCCTTGTCTCCGTATCAAGCGTCCAAGATCGGCATCTACAGCCAAAAGGAGACATTTCATGTCTCCCCCTAGCCCTCCCTGTGCCGCGTCTCAGCGTGACTTCGCAGGACGAGGACTGGGTGAAGGAAGAAACGATGTCAGCAAAACTGCGCGACACAGCTGAGCCCAGCACTTGGTTTTGACGCCTTTTCAGCTTAGGGGTTTTGCCCTCGCCCTTCTGGCAGGGCAGATTGCTATGGATTCGTGCTGCCACCAGCGGGCGATTCTTAAGCTGCGCGCGTGCGCCTCAGCACCGCGGGAGTTTGAGCGCTGCGAACTTGCATCCGTCCTTGTTGTGTGAGCTTCGGCTGAGGTAGCAACACCATCACTGATGCTTTTTTGCGCTGCGGCTTTGCTTGACTTCCAGGATTAGCAGCCAGCAGTTCAACACTCACATTCCGTGAGGAGGCTGCGGCATTCAAGTTTTCAAGTCAAGCGGGGCATGCAACGGGTACAGGACAAGGGACAGATGCCAGCGCTGGTCAAAAGCAGTTTCACAGAGGCACTCCTAGTTGTGCTTAAGTGCACAGACGCAATCAAGCTCGTTTGAAGAAGTCTGGGGGAAAGAGCACTTGCATTGTTTTGCTCAGCCTGTACTCACCAGCATGATTCGGAACCCGCTTCAAGCATCAGTTTGTATTCAGTAGTGGGATTGCTGAGTTGGTCTGGGTCCCCCGCTTTCCTTGCAGTTCGGAAGCAGTTGAACGTGTTCTGCTCATCAGTTCCAACAAAAAGGAAACAAAATTGGAACAAAATTGGAACAACATTGGAACAAAATGGGAACAAAATGGGAACAAAATGGGAACAAAATTGGAACAGAATTGGAACAAAATTGGAACAGAATTGGAACAAAATTGGAACAAAATTGGAACAAAATTGGAACAAAATTGGAACAAAATTGGAACAAAATTGGAACAAAATTGGAACAAAATGGTTCCAAAATGGGTCCAAAATGGGTTCAACCCCAAAAGGGTCCAAAATGGGAGGGGTTGGGGAGGGTCCGCGGGTAGACAGAGCCATTGAACATCTGGAATTTAGAGGTGCTTGGCTAGCGGTCCCTGCGTTGTGCCCAGGTCTCAGCTTTCCCTCACACGTGTTGATGTGGACAAAAACTTCACACCCTGGTTGCACACACTTCTTTTGGTGGCTATGAAGTAGACAGTACCAGCTGTGAATTTGTCACACCCCGGGAAGGTGCATTATCTGGGATTGTGGTCCTGGCAAAATGTGGCACCTTGTCGAATTGCAACGTCGCACCCGTCAAACTGGCAGAGGTTATTGCCATCATGCAGCCTGCCGAAAGCGTTCGGGCTGTGTTTCCAGCTTCCTTTTACACAGCCTGGAAAACCACAACGGGGACCTCCTCCATGCCGGATGCAACGACCAGGAATTCCGCCGTACACCACTAAATTACCACAAGGGCCCTCCTCTGTAGGAACCGGGCAACGGAGCTTGATTTTGTGTGGCATGGGTGGTAAGATCTGTGTTGTGTTCGCAGACGCTGTTCACCATCGCGCTCTCTTTATTTTAACGGAGGCCTAGATCACAGCTCTGCGACGAGCAGGCCGAGCGTTGCTTAGATTCGTTATTAGCGTAGGGAACAATGATCCAGCCCTCTTCTTGGGGGTGGCGCGGGCTTCCTCGGGTAAGGGGTGCTTTCGAATTGTGTGGGCGCGAAGGGCTTCTTTTGTCCTAAAACGAAAGCCCTTCAGCTCGCAGCCCGGCACGCGACAGAACAGATCACCAGCTTTGCTCTTCATGCTTTTCCTCTGGGGCCTTGTCCTCGCCCTGGTCCCGTCGCAGCTGGTCAAAATCAGTCTCTGCCTGACGCCATAGCGAACGGACGGAGCAGGTCAAGAGCTTCAGCTCGGGGGAGTAGCTGTGTTGGGATAAGTCTTGCAGCAGGTCCAACAACGCGTTGCCCATCTTCATTCGGCCTAGGGGGCCTTTGACCTCTGTCGACCAAGCCGTGGACGCCATGGCTTCGAAAGATCGAATTGCTGGCTCATGTCGGGAACCGACACGAGGCACGAACTCCTTTTACTATAGGAGACGTCCACTTTTTCCTGGAGGGTCGGGTCCCTGGGAAAAAACGGGCAGCATTTCCCCAGGGCGGAGACCCAAGTTGTGGGTTTTTGGGGTGTTCGGAGCCGCCCCATTCCCTGGACGGCTCTCTTCCTGAGCGGTGGTGCGGGCCTCCTCGGGCAAGGGATGCTTTCGAATTGTGTGGCTGCGAAGGGCTTCTTTTGTCTTGAAGCGAAAGTTTTTCAGCTCGCAGCCCGGCACCCTGCAGAACAGATCACGAGGATTGCTCTTCATGCTTTTCCTCTGGGCCCTCGCCCGGGTCCTTCGTGTGTTGACGTTCGGAGAGCTCGTCATAATCTTTCTCGGCCTGACGCAACAGAGAACGGACCGAGCAGGCCAAGAGCCTCACGTCGGGGGAGTGGCTGCTTTGGTAAAAGTCCTCGATGAGTTCCAACACTTGATGGGCCATGTTCACTTTGCCCAGGGCTTCGGTCTGCTTCATCAGTGAAAACCAGTCCATGGCTGGCGAAAAGGTAAATTGCTGGCCTTTGCTGGCGTCCGACGTAAGGCGTGCGCTGCTTTTATTTTAGGAGCCCTGGTCGTCTTGAGCATTCGGCCGGGCGAGCATCTTGAGCATCCCTGTACGCGCGTGCAGAAAAACAATTTATTGAAATCTGTTGGTTTCCCAAGCTTCGTCTTGTCCTTCTTCACTGCTTTTGCATCTTCCCGCGCTTTCTTGGCAGCGGCCTTGACCGCTGCTTTGACCATTTTTTCCTCGGTTTTTTCTCCTTCAACGCCTTCTTGAACAGGCCGATTTGGGCTTGGATGTCTTCCGAAGATCTAAGCGAACAACCAGTGGCCTCCTGCACCGCAGCCACCACATGATCCCGAGCAGCGACGATTGTGTCCCTTGTGGCTTGCCCGTCCTTGCTTACAAGATCCTTGACCCAGGTGTACGATCGCAAAGTACGGCCTTGGGCATGAGCCTCTGCTTCTCGCTTGGCACGTTTCGCCGCTTTGTCCCGCAGCTTCTTGTTCAGCCACCACTTGGGAACGGGCACGTCGCTCATCTCGACCTGCCCGCTCAAGAGTTTCTTTCAACAAGCACCGTGCAACTAGCCATACAACAAAGCATCTGCAGCCTCGCAGGCCCGCGGAGAGACTCAACACCTCAAAAGTGAAAGCGACGAAAACGTTAAATTTTCCACCGCGTCCCTGAGCAAGTGTCGCCAAAATCCCGCCTTGAAGAGGACTGCGAGAAGGTTCCCCAAAGCGCACAAAACTATACTTCAAAAGGCCACGTGCAGTCAAAGCATATTCAACCCAAGATTCCGGGTGCATGGCAACCTGCAAGTCATGCGATAAAACTAGACCTAGACGTGCAAACCACGGGCATTGCTTGGATTGCGTTGTTTTTTGGTGGAGTTCACGCTCGTGACACGGCGATAAAAATTTATTCGCCTCTGACGCCGGCATTGGTGCCGCAATTGGAGCCGCAATTGGCGCCGGAATTGTCGCCGGAATTGGCGCCGCAATTGGCGCCGCAATTGGCGCCGCAATTGGCGCCGGAATTGGCGCCGGAATTGGCGCCGGAATTGGCGCCGGAATTGGCGCCGGAATTGGCGCCGGAAATGCTTGTTGCGTTGACCCTCAAAAAACAAGCAGCATAAATACCAGGCAAAAATACCCTTGCTAAATCAAGTAGAAATAAATTCACCAAAAAATCCTACAAAAATCATATACAAATTCCACAAAATCATGCAAAAAAATCACAAAAATCAAAAAGATGGGTCACCTCACTGGCGACGAGATGGAGATGTTCCGCGGCGCCTTCCAACGTCTGATTTCCCAAAAGAAGTTGGACTGGTTGAGAAAGGGATTGGCCAAGCATCAGCAGTGAGGGGGCAAAAATATGTGTTTGCAGCATTTCTTGCGGCCGCGCGCAGCCCTACTCAGATGTTTCAAGATCGTTGAAGCCTCTAAAGCCCCTAAACCCTAAACCCTAAGCCCCGAAACCCTTTCAAGACAGTTGGGCGCATGCCGCGCTGACAAAATGCTTTCAGAGATGCCCGCGCAAGGGGCGCAGGACACTCGCACAGAGGCCGCGATGTCCACATCGTGCACAGAGTGGGACCGCTAGCTGACGATGGGAAACGTGGGGCGTATGCATTGCTACGTTGGGCATTTTAAGGTTTGCGAGCATGGAACATCTTGTGTTTGTCAGGTGCGACTTTGTTCATGTGACCGCAGCCGTTTTTCTGCGTTTGGTGGGTTGTGATGTCAAGGCTATTCCTTCCGACGTTGCGATTTTGAGTATGAGTAAGGGACCTTTCCAAAGACTCGCAGCAGTCATGGGGTTAGTGTTTTCCCAGATCCTAACAAGTTGCCGGCGCTTGCAGACGCATAACAAGGCATGAAGGCTTCAAATGGTAGCAGTTGCCGCGATGTGGTCTTGCGGGTCTGCCGGGCGCTCAGTTGAAAATTATCCTAAACCTTAAAAGCTTCATAGGGGGATGAAGGGCTCCAAAAGGTAGCAGTTGCTGTGATGTGGTCTTGCGGGCTTGCTGAGTGCTCACAGTTCTGGCAAATCCCAAACTTTAAAAGCTTAATAAGGGATGAGGGGCGTCACGGATTCTGAGGAAGCATGACAAATAGATAAAAACCGACGAAGCGCACCAAAAATGTTGGAAAATCCCAGACAAAAACGAGCAAACGGCGCGAAAACATCAAAATTGAAGATCGATTTTTGAAAAAGGGTCTTAAACATTAGATAGGGGGGTTTAGGATGTGACAACTTGATGAAAAACCGACGAAGCGCGACAAAAATGATGGAAATCCCAGACAAAAAACGAGCAAACGGTGCGAAAACATCAAAATTGTAAATCGATTTTTGAAAAAGGGTTTAAACGTAAGATAGGGGGGTTTAGGATGTGACAACTTGATGAAAACCGACGAAGCGCGCCAAAATATGTTGGAAAATCCCACACAAAACGACGTGGCGAAATAGGAGGCTGATTTTACGTAAGGTATTAAACAGAAGAATTTCTCGCCCTTTCTAGTCCCCATCGCGTCTGCTGTGATGTTGGTAAGTGTTGTTTCGCCCAGGTCTTTCATCTACACCGGTCCTTCGTCTACATTGAGATCTGCCGTGCCGGGAGCTCCGAGTGAAACCAACAGCTTGCATTAGGAGTAGCAGGAACTCCGTGTGGAAACCATGAGCTTGCATTAGGAGTGGCTCGCTCGTAGGATTTTGGATCGATTAGATCTGAAGCGCCAAGGCATGCTGACCTGTGCGCAGGGGGCTCAGGGCAAGCAAAAAATCACAAGCAAGTTGCAACTCGCTCAAGGCTCTGCTGTTAATCCCTTGCAAAACTATTGCATTGCTCAAACTGACCATTTTTTCTGCACGCTGCTCGGTTTGGCAGGCCGCACCTGTAACCTGGCTTTACAAAACCGAAGCCAGAAGACTGATCGCGGCAAGGCAAACATGCTTCCGCGCCCTTCTATGTGACCTATTGCAAACTAAAAATTTTAAGTTCCTAAAACTAAGCTTGCAAGCAGACGCTAGCGTATGTGCAACCCCTGTACGTGGTCCGCACGACAAACCCAAGCCACTGTCCGAGGAGAGGCTGGCTGTGCGCGCAAAACATCAGCTTCGAAGACTTTTCAAATCATCAATCCAAAGGACCATAGCTCATGATCATCCGCAGGATGTTCTCACCGACCCATGCGCCGGTTAGCCGGACGAAATCGCTCACCACGGGATGATTCCTCCAGTGCCCGTGAGGTCGAGACTCGTCGTAACTGATCTGGTGAACCTTGTCGTTGTAGGCCGAGAGGGACTTCTTCGTGACGAGGTCCAAGCTCTTCTGCAAGCGGTGGCTCACCAGCTGGAAGAAGTCCACCTTCTGCTCCTGGAGCGAGACCATGGCCTCGCGGTAGGCCTCGTGGCGGGGCACTACCTTCTTCGGCACGCCCTTTGCCCTCTGCTTGTCCAGGGAGTCCTTCACCGGCGAGCTGAAACGCAGACTGTAAAGCTTTGCGCGGAGCCCGATGAACTCCTCGACCCAGACCGGGAAGTACTCCAGGCCAAAACCGCCAAGTTCGCCCGACCGCTTCCTTGCAAGTTCGAGCTGGTCTGCGGGCAGGTGGCTTAGGGATGAGAGGTCGCCCCCCTTCTTCTCCATGAGCTCCTTCGCCAGGTCGAAAAAGCAAGGGTATCGTCCTGTTTGGCAGTTGGCAAGGGCCATGTCCAGAACCGGATCCCCCCGCGTGAAGATCTGGTAAGTGGCGCCGTCCGTGTCAGTGGCCAGCAGGCGGGCTCCGGGCCAGAGCTTTTTCACTCCTAAGTAGTGATTGCTCAGCATCTGCAGGCGAGACAGTTCAAGAACTCGCCAGCCCATGTGAACCGGGCTTTTCTGCAGTTGCTCTCGGGCACTGGCATAGTGAACGACGCCGACGAACGCCTCGCCGGTGGACATGACGCCAATGTCGGTCATTCGATGCCCGTCCAGAGCCTGAAGCCAGCTTTTCACGTCAGTGTGAACTCCTGCGGTGCGGTAGCCTTCCACATTCTGTATCAACTTCCCGTAGATCGAGTTCATGACGAGCTTCACAGCCTCGGCCTCGATGGGGTGGCCCGTCTTTTTGAGTTGGATGCGTTCGTCGTAGCACTGCTGCATCCACGGCGCCAGCGCCCTTGAGCAACGGAACTTGATGGCGGCATGGACCTTGTGCACGCGGGCCTTCATCACATCCCGCATAAACTTGAGCCTCTTAGCGTCCACTCCTTCTTCGACGTGAAGCCCTAGATACGGTACAAGTTTTTCAGTGCCCAGCACCTCGCACCCGTTCTCCGCAGCAATCCTCAACGAGTGATCCCCGAGCATCTCCTTCGTGACTTTCATCCTGGCGGGAGGGGCCCAATCCAGAATGTCGTGGTACTCAGGCGGAAAATCGAAGTCGATCACTACCAAGAAGCATTCTTCCTCGCTCTTAGCTTGGAAGTCAATCTCCTCCAGCACCGATTCCAGCCAGGTCAAACGCTCTTCTTGACTTTGAGGGAGGGCTACCATCTCTCCAGAGTCACATGGAAGAGGATGGGTCATGAGGCCTGGGTACATGGAATTCACATCAAGCGGCAGAATGTAGCTCTGAGGTTGCAGAGGTTCGTAATCGTCGAGGTCGGGGTGGTTGGCTTTTGCGTATGGTTGAAATATGCAGCTGAGCCCTCCCATAACGGAGCGCCTAACCACCCGGTAAATCTCTTCCTCCACGATAAGGTTGATGGGACGAGCCAGGGTGCACTTGAAGAGCATGGCGTCGAAGGCTGCCCCCGGTAAGGTGATGTACTGGAGAGCGTCCAATCGAAAGCGGCGAAAGAACGCCCCCCTGAACGCCTCCATAACGTCCGACAACGCCAGATCCATCACAAGGTAGGCGTCGTGCATCTCTCGAAAACTGCGCCACCCCATGATCGACGCCGTCTCCACGAGAAGCTGGTAGGCTTCGTCCTTCTTCCGTCTGGCCTGCTGAGTGGGTGGGTCCAGCTTGGAATCATAGCACTTTCTGCGCCACACGGGTTGGGTCTGCCATACCTCTGTGCTCGAACGGCATTGGCAGCTTACGAAGAAGAAGCTCCCACGTCCACTGCTTGAAGACGTCTAGGGGGCAATCTTTCCAGCCTTCCTTGTTTTGGTCGGGAGCGAAGTGCTGCCAGAGACGTCGGCGGCGGTCGTCGGTAAGGCGTGATTCGCCGAGGTCTGGATGCACCAAGGCCACGTGCTGGAAGACTGCAGACACATTGCCTTGGGGCGCGGACTTCTTGAGCTCGTCAATGAGGTCGCCCAGGCCCTGCTTGTAAAAGTTCATGCTGTCGCGGAAGACCAAGTTGCCGAGGCGAAACTGCAACATCTTCTCCCCGGACTTGAACAGCACCTCAAACTTTAGCTTGGAGAAGTTGACCTCGTCGCCCACGTCCTCCATCTCGGGGAGCTCCTCATTCTCCAGCGTCATCTCCTGCGGTCCACACGCGGCGCCTCCCCTCAGATAAGCGATAGCTCTGATGAGGAAGCCAAAGTTGAAGGACCCTCCGTTGTGAAAGAACACAGGAACGCAGGGAGGCTGCCTTATGCCTTTGTTGCAAGTGGCGCACAAAGCCTCCAAGTACTCCCCAGTGCCATGCCTGTGATGGCACACTTTCATGCGCCTGGAGTCGCCCTCTCGGAAGGGGATGTTGCAGCGCTCACAACGAAGAGCCTCCTGGTGATGTCTCCACTGCAAGTCTGTGGGCTTCGGCATGACATTGGTGTTCTTCGTCCAGTCCTGGTAGCGCTTGGCAAGAGCCAAGGCTTTGCGGAGAAAGCGCTCCACGACGGCAAACCTGTGCTCCCCGCTCTCGGCGTGGGTGAGAAAACACTTCTCCTCCTCGGTGACTTCGAACCCGTTGTGAGCCACGGACAGAAAGGCCGCAGAAGCCACATCTCGCTGAAGTCCATGGCTGATCTCCTGAACCTGCACGTTGGGAGCCTCCTCGGTCCAAGTCTCCAGGTCGGCGAACAAGACGAGGGGGGCAAGCTCTGCAGACTTCCCGGCTTTGTAGCGAAGGCGGTGCTCGTTCTTTCTCATGTCAGGCATGCGAATGTGTGCAGACCTCTTTGCAGGATCGCGGCTGCAGGGCTTCTCCTGGTGCGCGGCCAAGGTCTCAGAGCTTTTGAAGCTCCCCCCACATCGGTGACAAGCAAATACATGAGACGTAAGCCGCCTTGAGCCATCGAGCTCGGCGCTGCGGTTGCCGCAAAAGTTGTTGTAGTTGAAGATGAGCATGTAGTGGTTCTCCACTCGCAGCAACAGGATCTCGATGGGGGCGTTCACCACAGTGGGACCTCTCACCATCTCGCGTTGGAAGAACTTGCGATCCCCCCACTTTTCTTGGATCCACTCCCACACATAGCAAGCGACCTTGCCCCGATTCGCGGCTTCGAATTCGTCTATGTCAGTCCAAACAACGCCGCGATCGGTCGGAAGTGTAGAGAAGTCCAAGCCAAAGTCGTTGAGGATGAACTTAGCGTCCTTCGGGGGGCGATTTGGCACTGGAGCAAATTCATCTAAGTAAAACCGCCGATCACTGAGTTTCTTGGCGGCCTTCTTGCGCGCGTTGCTGCTCCAGCTCTCAATGCCGGGCATGTGCGCTCTCACACACCACTGGAAGCACAGGTTGTCATCGTTCTGGGGGTTCCAAACCCCTCGCTTGTTGCCGAGACCCTCCGGCTTTTCATGGAGTTTTGCCCCCACGGGTCTGTCTTCAGCGACGCCAACGCCGGGAAGACGAGCCATTTCGCCAGAGGGAGCCACGAGGAGGTAGATACTCTCGATGTGGCCTATGATGTCTCTCGATCCCCGGAATCTTGCCCTCTCAAGGTGGATCTCGAGCTTCTGCCTGACCACCGAAACCATTGCGGCCATACGACGATCAGGGTCGCCGTTGACCGACACCTTCCAAGGAGCAGGCTGAAGCAGGTAGTAGCCACCGTACGCGGGAAGCACATCCTCGACGTTTTCATCTCCGAAGGGATTGTTGGGGTTGTGCGCCACCAAGGTCATCTTGAAACTAACCTTAGCCCAAAAGGGCAGCTGTGTGGTCAAATGAGGGGTCAGCGGTTCACGAAGCTCCGCGAGATCATCAACCGTCACTGGTGCATTTGGGCGGGAGATTTTGAACTCCCTGGCCCACACCGTCTCTCGAGGTGCCAGCTCCACAACTTGCACATTTGCGGCTGCCATGGCGGGTCTACAATTTTGCTATCGACTATCTTAAAAGTCTTTTATTATAGCTCCCAGACCAAAAGGCCTCGCGCGAGAGCCACTCCTAGCACAAGCCAAAAACGTAACGGCCAGAGTCTCCTAGAGAATACCCGCAAAATCCAACCAGCAAGCCCCAAAACGGCCTTTTCGCACCAAAGAGGCTACAACCACCTCTTCCCCATAGTAAGCTCTTCTTATCGCACAAAAGAGGGTGGTTTTAACCCTACTTGGGTGGGACACTAAGCAAATCCTGCTTCCTCAAAAGAGCTATAGCTGTGCGATAAGAAGAGGGTGGTTTTAACCCTACCTGGGTGGGACACGTGACGCCTTTTTTTTCTAGAGAAAACCCTCAAAATCCAACCAGCAAGCCCCAAAACGGAGGATTTTTCGAGAACCCAAACCTAGGCCTCAGAACCCGAATCCGGGGTCCCCCCATAGATTCCGCAAGAACCGTGACGCCCAAAGTCTCCTAGAGAAAACCCTCAAAATCCAACCTGCAGACCCCAAAACGGAGGATTTTTCGCAAGCATCCAGGCCTAGGCCTCAGAACCCGAATCCGGGTCCCCCCATAGATTCCGCAAGAACCGTGACGCCCAAAGTCTCCTAGAAAAAACCCTCTAAATCCAACCTGCAGACCCCAAAACGGAGGGTTTTTCGCGAGCATCCAGACCTAGGCCTCAGAACCCGACTCCGGGTCCCCCCATAGATTCCGCAAGAACCGTGACGCCCAAAGTCTCCTAGAGAAAACCCTCTAAATCCAACCTGCAGACCCCAAACGGAGGATTTTTCGCGAGCATCCAGACCTAGGCCTCAGAACCCGAGTCCGGGGTCCCCCATAGATTCCGCAAGAACCGTGACGCCCAAAGTCTCCTAGAGAAAACCCTCAAAATCCAACCTGCAGACCCCAAAACGCAGAATTTTTCGCAAGCATCCAGGCCTAGGCCTCAGAACCCGAATCCGGGTCCCCCCATAGATTCCGCAAGAACCGTGACGCCCAAAGTCTCCTAAAGAAAACCCTCAAAATCCAACCTGCAGACCCCAAAACGGAGGATTTTTCGCAAGCATCCAGGCCTAGGCCTTAGAACCCGAATCCGGGTCCCCCCATAGATTCCGCAAGAACCGTGACGCCCAAAGTCTCCTAAAGAAAACCCTCAAAATCCAACCTGCAGACCCCAAAACGGAGGATTTTTCGCAAGCATCCAGGCCTAGGCCTTAGAACCCGAATGCGGGTCCCCCCATAGATTCCGCAAGAACCGTGACGCCCAAAGTCTCCTAAAGAAAACCCTCAAAATCCAACCTGCAGACCCCAAAACGGAGGATTTTTGGCAAGCATCCAGGCCTAGTCCCCCCATAGATTCCGCAAGAACCGTGACGCCCAAAGTCTCCTAAAGAAAACCCTCAAAATCCAACCGGCAGACCCCAAAACGGAGGATTTTTCGCAAGCATCCAGGGGGGTCCCAGGGGCAGTGAGGGGCCTCGAATCCCTCGTGCTTCTCGGGGTCCCAAGGCGCAGTGAGGGACCTCTAATCCCTTGTGCTCCCGGCAGTCCCAGGCACAGTGAGGGGCCTCGAATCCCTCGTGCTTCTCGGGGGTCCCAAGGCGCAGTGAGGGACCTCTAATCCCTTGTGCTTCCGGCAGTCCCAAGCGCAGTGAGGGGCCTCTAATCCCTTGTGCTTCTGGGGGGTCCCAAGAAGCAGTGAGGGGCCTCTAATCCCTTGTGCTTCCGGGGGGTCCCAAGGGGCGGTGACCGACGTGACCCGCGGTGACCGACGTGACCGACGTGACCCGCGGTGACCCGCGGTGACCGACGTGACTGACGTGACCCGCGGTGACCGACGTGACCCGCGGTGACCGACGTGACCCGCGGTGACCCGCTGGCGGCTGGGCAGGCTGTGAAAGCAGTTAAGAGAACCAAAACGTTCAAACTAGCACTGGGCGGTCCTGGAAGCGGTTAAGAGACTCTTTGCCTTGCAATTAACCTAAGGTGCGGGGCCGATAGGGTAGTTAACTTCGCGAGCAGCTCGATTGTTTCGCGCCTCCCTAGAGTCCAAAGCTGGTCTGCCCGAGGCATTCGCAAGTCTGAGATCTCTGGCCACGAGCTTACCCCCGCTCCAGCCCTGCAGAGTAAAAAGCGGCCCCATGTCGGTGTATTCAATGGTGGTAACCTGGTAGGTTTGTTCGGACCAGGCAGTTTCCGTGACCCTGTAGCTTTCCCTGTTTTCCCGAGGCTTAACCCGAGCCCGAACCCTGTCGCCAACTTTGATAAGGGGACGGACTGGAGCGTTCCTTTTGGCCCGAAGCAGCATGACCTCAGACGCCATCTCTGCTTTCGCGGGATCGTCGTAGGCTTGATTGGGGGTAACTCCGGTGCCTTGATGGGTTCTGTTGTGGTATTGAGCCAGCACGTCGGGTAGCAGTTGATACCAGCGATTTCTCGGAACAACCCCCGCACTGATGCGACGAACCAAGGCCTCCTTTATGGTTCTAATCGCTCGTTCTACGAAATAGGCGTGGCCCCTGGTGACCACTTTATCAACATCAAAATAGTCTAGCTTCTCCTGAAACTCGCGTTTGAACTCCGAACCATCGTCCGAGTAAACGCAAGAGGGGATTCCGAGAGAACTGACTACTTGCTGCCACGCCGCTGCTGCTGCTGCGGCAGTCTTGCTCGCCATAGGAACCGCTGCTATTTTCTTGGTAAATGTGTCGATTGCCACTAGAAGGTAGCGGTAGGGCGAATTAGAGAACACTGTCATATCCGCTAAATCCACTTGCAACTGGTGCATGGGTTCGGCGGGCACGAATGAGTTGAAGCCTCTCTGCGGCCGATCTTCTCGAGCTTTGACCGTTTGCATGAAAGCAACGACATCGCTTCTCCTGATAGACCTGTCAGCGCGTCGAGCTTGACGCAGCGTGTCCGCAATACTTCCAAAACCGCTTTGAGGATTCTCATAAACTCTTTTGATGGCGGCCTGCCTCGCCGCTGCTGCCATAGGCGCGCTGTGAAATTGCTCTTTGTTTATAGCCGTTAGGGAAGCAATCGGAAGCTCTCATTTGCAGCTCAGGTCGAATTGGCGCAGACAGTTGTAGCACATGTGCTTTTTTGCTCGGACTCCGCAAGCCATGAAGGGACAGTCTGGTTTCTCGCACTGATGCTCGCCCGAAGTCGTTCTAGCTCGCTCAGCACAGTCGCAGTCCTCGTAGTAGTAGCCCCCGAGCCCCTTACGATCCAGGCTATAACCTAAACTGAGACGCTTGCCACAGCGCTCACAATTGCGGTCAGGGCGGCATTCGCGGCAATCACACGGTCTGCCCCAGTCGCAATCTGGCATGCTGCACTTCCTAGTCGGATGACGTCCAGCCCTGGCCTTGACCAAACAGCTGGTTGCCTCGTTAGCGCAGCAGAAGTAACGTCCAGCCCTGGTCTTGACCAAACAGCTGGTTGCCTCGTTAGCTCAGCAGAAGTAACATTCCACTTTTTCTTTTAAGCTAACAAAAAAACAAACTGAAGCGAAGCCAAGCAAAACTCACAAGCATAGACCTAACGCGACCTAACGGACGGTCGCCGACTCAGTCAATGATTTTGCAAATTGAAACCGCTCGAGTCTGGAGTGTGGGGATACTTCAGAACATAGCAGTAAACAGACCCATCGGAATTTCTCGATTTCATCGCTCATCATCCGTGCAAATGACAGTTTCACACACATACGATCGGCAAACTCATGGCATTCTCATCGCAAACCATCGGAATTTCTTATTTTCTAACTCGAGTTCCTGCAAATTCGAACAACTCGAAACGGATTGTCTGCATTTCGGAGAATCGACGGAATTGGAACGAAAAATGAAGACGAGATCGAGCTGACTATTGACTTGCAAGAGAGCATCCAACAGCTCAGGATGAACAAGAGAGACTAGAATTGCCCAGAAACAGCAAAAAATAATAAATGACCCCTAACGTGCCCCCATCCCTTGTGTCTCACTCCATTGCTGAAAAGAGTCAAACAAACCAGCTCGTCTGTTCTTCACCCGAAGTTAAACCGGAATCAAAGTCCAGCGTAACCCGGCTGCGTGCTTCAAGTCTAGAAGGAGCACGCCGAGGCATGCTCTCTTGTAGAGCTGCAGAACCGTCAAGGGCCCACAACCCCGCTGGTCCCAAGATGTCGTCAGTAATCTTGACCAAATCGAGAATGCGCTTTGAGCCAGAGCAGTTGCTTTAACCAAAAGGGCTGAACTTCCAAGCGCTCCCTAAGCTGTTTCAAGCGCGAGGGATCGTCAGCCACATCATCATCGGTGCCGACATGGAAAAGCCCACTACTTGCACCGTGCATTGAGGATTTCAAGCACCCTAATGTCAACGAGAAGCTTTCTTTCCGAAGCTTGCTCAAACACCTTGCAAAAACCCAAACCGAATTCTCGTTTTGGGCCTTGCTGGATAGTCGAGTCACTATCGGTTGCAAATCGAAGGGCAGGTCAAGCAGTCAGAAGCTTAACTTCTATTTGTCAAACAGTTCTGCCACATATTCTGGGTGCAGGGCTTTATCCGAGTCTGAGCGCTACTTTTCCTATTCCTGCTGCTTCTTTCAAGGGGTGGTGCTGTTGTGTGCTACTACATACTTTGCATTGGCATGCTCAGTATTAAGCACCGAATTTAAGCACATAAGTAAGCGGAGAAAAAGGACTAAACAGGATTCCCCAGCAATGGCGAATAAACAGATTAGTTGGGTTGGAAACCGGCACATCAACAAAACATCTTAACCAAAGTCTTTGGAAGCAGTCAAGTCGACACATGACAGACCCCAGAATTTTCGCTGGTGGAAATTAGGCCATAGGCAGCGCAGATGCATAATCAAGGCTGACCTTATGGCGCCCCGAGTAATGGGCTCCGTCGCCCCTTTGGCTCAAGGCCGCGTCTGCTCGAGGTAGTTAAGCCACCGGGGAGCCGTAGGAGGGGTGGGAGCGTTGCTAAAGGTCCTTCTTTG